AAGGAGCAAATACACATCATTTGAAGTTTGCAGTAATAGCATCACTGTGTCTTTGTGAAACTAACATTTCTTGAAACCAAAAAACTGTGACCAAACAAATGTTTGCTGCTTAATTGGGGACATTAATATGAAAGGTAATCCTGTATTGTATTGTTTCTTATGTTTAGGCTGTACTGAATGTGTTTTATTTTGTATAATATCTTTGTTTAGACTGTAATTAACATGATTTACAAGTGGGTTGTAAATACAAAACAAAGAATTAACCTATTCTGGAATAATCCTGTGGGCTTCAATCTTTACAATATAATTCTCTTGAATTAAATCAAGTCATTTAGATGCATCAACAACCTTTCAGTCACAACGTAGGAACTGCAATCACTCTTTAACGTGTGGAAAATTGCATTCTATGTGTTAAACTTATCCTTTTAGTTATTTCAAACTGTGGGCTTTGAAGCTAACAGGAGCTTTGGATAAGACGGAAAAGTTGCAGCTAAACTTGGCAGAAACTCGCAATAACGCAGCTGCAAATTAAGGTGGCAATTCTCTAAAGGTCCGTCATAACAAGTCTTGCCCTGTCTTTCAACTAAAATATAAAACTTGACTATAAACTTGACTACAACCCTCTTAACATTAGCTAGCTGGCGAGCTAATGTTAGCATAGCGGAAGTAAGCTAGCTGCGTTTAGCCAAAAATAACTATTTGTACTTTTTTTTTTTAAACGTACGCTTAGTTACTCAGAATATACTCACGTGTGTTGGGACTTTTTATAGCAACAACAACACGTTTCAAATATATATAATATATACTTGGTAAAGTAAGACTTACAATAGAAAGTACTCGCTTCAACTCGTTCCCGGAAGCTGACCTTTACCCTTCTGTTGCCATGGCAACGACGAAAGCCTTTATTAAGACTTAATTTAATTTAATTTAATTTAATTTAATTTAATTTAATTTAAATGACNTTCTCTGTGTAAAACACCAGGGGGCGTAGTCTGTCCATTATATGGCTTTAACACACCAAACGTAGCTGTGAAGAAATAAGGTGTTGTTCACCATATTGCCAAAAGTATTGGGACGTCTGCCTTAACACACACATGAATTTTAAAGACATCCCATTCTTGATCCGTAGGGTTTCACATGGAAGTGCCCCCCCCTCCCCCATAACAGCCTCAACTCTTCCGGAAAGCTTTCCACAAGGTTTAGGAGTGTGTTTCTGTGAATTTTCGATCATTCTTCCAGAAGTGCATCTGTAAGGTCAGGCACTGATGTTGGACGAGAAGGCCTGGCTCTCAGTCTGCACTCTAAAGCATCACAAAGGTGTTCTGTCGGGTTGAGGTCAGGACTCTGTGCAGGTCAGTCAAGTTCCTCCACACCAAAGTCCACGTCCATGTCTCGACTGACCTTGCTTTGTGCACTGGTGCGTAGTCATGTTGAAACAGGAAAGAGCCGACCTAAACCATTCCCACAAAGTTGGGAGCATGAAAGTGTCCAAAATGTCTCGGTATGCTGAAGCATTAAGAGTTCTTTTCACTGGAACTAAGGGGCCAAGCCCAACCGCTGAAGAACAATCCCACATCATAATCCCTCCTCTGCCAAACTTTACGCGTTGCACAATGCAGTCTGGCAAGTACTGTTCTCCTGGCAACCGCCAAACCCAGACACGTCCATCAGATTGCCAGACAGAGAAGTGTGATTCGTCACGTCCCCACTACTCTAGAATCCAATGGCGGCACACCTCGCTCCACTGCATCCAACGCTTTGTGATGTAAGGTTTGGATGCAGCTGCTCAGCCATGGAAACCCATTCCATGAAGCTCTCAGCGCACTGTTCTTGAGCTAATCTGAAGGCCACGTGAGGTCTGTAGCTATTGATTCTGCAGAAAGTTGGCGATTTCTGCACACTGTGCGCTTCAGCATCCACTGACTCTGCTCTGTGGTTTTACGTGGCCTACTGCTTCATGGTTGCGTTGCTGTTGTTCCCCGTTGCTTCCACTTTCTTATAATGCCACCAACAGCTGACCGTGAATATTCAGCATTGAGGAAATTTCACGAATGGACTTATTGCACAGGTGCCAGCCTATCACGGTACCACACTTGAATTCACTGAGCTCATGAGAGTGATCCATTCTTTCACAAATGTTTGTAGAAGCGGTGTGCATGCCTAGGTGCTTGATTTTATGTACCTGTGACCATGGAAGTGATTGGAACACCTGAATTCAATTATTTGGAAGGGTGTTCCAATATTTTTGTGAATATAGGGTACTTGTTTCAAAACTGCACTTCGAAATTATTGTGCTTGTTTTTTTTTCATCCTGAAAAATTTCCAAAACTAAAGTAGAGCTGCTCATTTTGTGCCTCTCAGTGACCTCATGGTTACTTCAAGGGTCGATGTGTGAATATCAGACTTTGTTGAATGATACTCAGAGAAATATTTGATTCATATTTGTTGAAATGAGTGTATTAAACCCTCAAATTTAAACTTCATCATTGTGTCAGAAGCATGTTAAAAGCGTTTTGTTTTTGTTTCACTTTTAAAAAAAAAAAAAAAAACAAAGTCCAAAGCTTTACCAGTTGAGCCACCACTTCCCCCAAAACAGTGAAAGGACTCGTCCAGGATTTGACACACTGTCTGAACCAGGACGTACTCCACGTGGCCCCAGTGCATCACCAGATCCTTCACGATGCTTTTGTAAAGCTCCTGGAATCTGGCTGACATCACGTCGATGTCTTCGTCCTGCAGCTGGGACCAGACTTCCTTGTAAGTCAGAAGTCCTCCTAGATCACTATCATAGAGTCCACGATAGTCTGCACCGACATCATGCTCTCTGAAGGTGAAGGTTTTAACTCGCTGCTGTAGTTTCTCCTGTAGAACAAAAGGTATGTGGAACACGTTGTCTGACCCCCATTCCTAACCTCGGTTCTGACGTCACACAGGCCACACGGCCAGACCACATGACGTCACTGCTGCTGTGCGCCTGCGCTTTGTGGTTTTCATCAGAAGTCAGCTGGAAACAGATGAAGCAAAGCTGAAAAAACTACACCATGTGTTGATATAAAACTACAGACATGGTTGCAACAAGGCAGGGAACAGCCTGGACAGGTCACCAGTCTATCTCAGGGCTACACAGCGAGACACAACACTCACATTCATACCTACGGAAAATTTAGAATCCCCAAAGACCCTCAGCATGTCTTTGGACATGAAAACAGGGGAACCCGGAGAGAACCCACGCTGCACTGAAAGAATATGCGAACTACACACAGAAAGATCTCGTGCAATACTTCTTCAGTCTTTTATTTCTTTTAAAATATTTATCCTTTTTATATCTTTTATATTTACTGAGCAATTTTGCACTTTATCGTTTTTACTTGCACTGCAATAGGAGAAGCTCTCTGATCTTGTTGTACACTATGCTGACAATAAAAGTGCATTCATTCATTCATTCATTCATTCATTCATTCATTCATTCATTCATTCAAGATGCCAGGCATCCTAACTGGGACATGAAGCAGGGATCTTCAAGCTGTGAAGCGAGCCACCGTGCTGCCCAAACATGGATTCAACATGTGTTAATTTAAAAACTACAAACATGGACTCAACATGTATTATATTAACACACATGTTGAATCCATGTTTGTAGTTTTTATATTAACACAATGCAGTGTTTAGCAGTGTTAATATAAAACTACAACCATGACTTCAACGTGTGTGTTTGTTTCTGTGTGTTGAACAGAGAAAGTGACAAACTGCTGCTTCACATTTCAGGATCCTGCAGCTTCATGAAGCCAGAAAGAAGAGAAGTGAAACATGAATTCAGTCTGACACACCGACTGACTGCAGGACTTCATGTTCCAGCTGAATCCAAGGATCTATACTTTATCTGGTCAGCCCGGTCTGGTTCGGTTCTGATCCTGAGGTTCTGTGGATTGCAGCCGTGAAACTTCAGCCAGAGCAGCAGAAGACCTGGATGTATCTGAGCAACTTTCTGTGCAGAGAGCATGATGATGCTGCTCACCTTC